GACAACACGGTGTGACCATTGGTCGGCAAACTATACCGAGACATATACCGCATGTCAAGTCAATGGCCAAATCGCTGGCCGATAGCAGACCCGCTAACATACGACTATTATTATTATTATTATTATTCATTGAATGATATAATAATAATAAATAATTTAATTTTCTTATTTAAGTAAAATAAATCAAAAAAATAAATAAAATTATTTTATGTTAAAATTTTATTTATAAACTATTGTATACAAAGTTTGTTTAATCTTTTTGAATTATTTTATTTGTTTCCTATTTTAATATATTCTATAAAAACAATTTTTATTTATTTAAATGATTATACCTTTCAGTTAATATACAGGTAATATAATTGTATATTAATATATTAATTTAAAATTAATATATATATATATATATATATATACACATTATATATATATATATATATATATGTATGTATAATATTTAATGTAAACAATAAAGAGTATAATAAATATTAATAAATAGTTTATATATATATACTGTATATATATTAAGTATTGATTAAAAATTTATTTGTTTTATACAAATTATTAATATTGATAAATATATTTATACTGTATATACACTTACAAAAATAAAATTAATTTACTTTATTTATAAATATATATATATATTTATAAATAATCAGTAGATTAATATTAATCTGTATTTATTATTTATTTTTAAGGATTAAAAATTAACTTTTATAATAATAATAATACTGTATTTTTTGTGTTAACATTAGAATTGATAAAATCAATTAAACAGTATATTATTATTAAGTATTGAATAAACTAAAATTATTAGTTAAAAATTTTATTCAAAATAAATATTGAATATTATTTACAGTTTATTTGAAACAAACATATATAGTATTAAAATAATTAACATTTAATGTAAAAAGTAAATAAACTGTATATTTAAAATAAAAAATTATTGAAAATTTATTTTTTTAAACTTCAAAGTAAAAGTTAATATACTTTTTTTAAAAATTAATATATAATATATTGTATATATACTAGTATACTAAATAGTTTTATTTTATGAAACTAATATTATAAAAAAAAAACCACAATTTATAATTTTACAGTTTATAATAAATAATAATAGTTAGATTTTTATATAAATTTTTAAAAAATATAACTTAATTTTAAAAACTAATATAATTAAATAAATATTAATAATGAAAAAAATATTGTCTGCAACATTTATATAATTAGATTTAATGATATTAATAAATTTATTTTATTTTTTCAAAATAATAATTATTACAAATTAGTTATAAAAAAATTTATTAAATAGAAAAACGCATTACTATTGATAACGTATTTAAGGATAATTAAAAAAAACGCAAACATTTTTAATTAATTTTTTATTTATTTTTTTAATAAAAAATATTTTTAATTATTATTATTATTCCAAAAACAAAAATCACAATAAATCACATTTTCCTGACTGACTATCTTTCCACTGGACTATCCATTGATTAGTGGATGTCGTATCCAATAGTAGGTTGACATCGATTTCTGTCCTACCGTTAACATGTTTGGCCTGAACTTGTTTACCGTCAACAGTGGCTACCAATTGGCCGGGCATTTGTCTAGTACCGGCAACTACTAGCCGATCGATGGTTGGTTTGACCACTGATTTGTCTAAACCGATGTTTATCGGCAACAATACTTACCGTACAGTTAGCTCCGGTGTTAGTCTAATTGAATACAAATTATAGGCATTTCGTTCAATAGTATCTATACTATCGCCGTCGTCACAAAAAACAACTGTCCATACGATTATTGACTGCCAGTTATTTTTGTATATATATTTTTAACTCATTTATTAATTTATTGATTTAACATAAAAAACTAAAATAATTATAATTAATCATAAATATAATATAATAAATGATATTAAATTAAAATAATAACTATTAAGCAAAACAATCAAATTAATTGATTTAAATTTTTTTAAAAATAAAAATAATAAATTATGTAACAATTATTTTTATCCACAAAACTTACTGAAAAAATAATAATAATTATAATTCAATAATAAAATTACTTAATTAATTATAGATGTTATAAATTTTTAGATATTAATAAAATAAAAATAATAAGTTAATTGCCATTAAAAGTGACTGATTTTTTGCCATTTTTTTTAAAAATTATAATTATTGATCAAATTTAGCCATTATTTCGTTCAAACGGCTAATCTCTTTATAGATGTTTTCAATAGCCGACTGATAGCTTTCAAGAGTAGCCGCGTGTGATTTGACCGATGCGGACAATAGGCTCAAACAGAGGACAGGATCGGCAGTGACTTTATGCACACCACTAGCGGCGGCGGCGGCGCCGGCAGTGGGCTTATAGTGGACACCAATTGGTTGACCGCACGTTTCACAGGTTTCACACATCACCCGATTTCGAGCACTGTTGCTGATGACCCTCGAGATCGGCCAGTTTGGACTCAACGGTGCAACCGTACTGTGAGTATACACATTCAAACAGAAGTGAATCCAATATACGCTGGATTTTTGGATCAACATAGTCAGCAGTGGGCGGCAATTTCGGGACAGTTTCATCAGCGCATAGACACGGTATGGGTTCAGCGGTGGTGGTCCCGGTTTGGGCACACGTGTCACACCAGATACCCGATCGACAACAGCTTAGACCTACGGGACGAATAGGTATCCTATTGCAGTCCTTGCATAGGATATCCCTTAAATAAAATGGCGGCAAACGGCCAGTGTTTGTACAGCGATTGGATACAACTGAATCCATTGAATGCACTGGTATTTTGAAAATTATATTTAAAAAATCAAATTATAATTTAATTACTTTATAAAAAAATATATTTTTAATAACTACCGAAAAAAAACTATTATAATTATAACTATAATGCAAAAAAAATGTTTATATATTTTTACACTAAATGTGTGGCACAACAACTAACTAAAAAAATATAATTTTAATACTAACAACAACATCAACAAAAAATCATTGCTTTTATAGCAGTTTTTTTTAATAAAAAATTATGGAAAAATTATTTTTTTTTGTATAATAATATAACTAAATATTAATAAATTATATATAAACTATTGAACAAAAATTATAAGTTTAAAATAAATAAACCCAAATCTAATATTTATAACTTATAAGATATAAAAGTTTTGCATTTTAAACTACAATAATTACTAATAATAATAAATAAATTAAAAAGTTTATTATAATTTAATTATAAAAATTTTATATAATCTTCTAAAAAGTTTATTTTCATTCATACAGTAATATTAATAACTATAATATGTATCAATAATAATAATTTTTAAAAACTAAAATTTAATTATAAGTTATATATATTTATATAATTACCTAAATTATCAAACTTTTCCAATAGATTTGCCAAAAATAGCGGTGCTTTCGATAGTTGTGAAACTTTTAGCGGCTTTCGGTCCAGTGGACAGGTTTGCCGTTCCCGTTGTTGTTGGCCATTATCGACACCAACATGGCTTCCCAGCCATCGGCTAATACAATCTGAACAATACATTTGCCGACAACACGGTGTGACCATTGGTCGGCAAACTATACCGAGACATATACCGCATGTCAAGTCAATGGCCAAATCGCTGGCCGATAGCAGACCCGCTAACATACGACTATTATTATTATTATTATTATTCATTGAATGATATAATAATAATAAATAATTTAATTTTCTTATTTAAGTAAAATAAATCAAAAAAATAAATAAAATTATTTTATGTTAAAATTTTATTTATAAACTATTGTATACAAAGTTTGTTTAATCTTTTTGAATTATTTTATTTGTTTCCTATTTTAATATATTCTATAAAAACAATTTTTATTTATTTAAATGATTATACCTTTCAGTTAATATACAGGTAATATAATTGTATATTAATATATTAATTTAAAATTAATATATATATATATATATATATATACACATTATATATATATATATATATATATATGTATGTATAATATTTAATGTAAACAATAAAGAGTATAATAAATATTAATAAATAGTTTATATATATATACTGTATATATATTAAGTATTGATTAAAAATTTATTTGTTTTATACAAATTATTAATATTGATAAATATATTTATACTGTATATACACTTACAAAAATAAAATTAATTTACTTTATTTATAAATATATATATATATTTATAAATAATCAGTAGATTAATATTAATCTGTATTTATTATTTATTTTTAAGGATTAAAAATTAACTTTTATAATAATAATAATACTGTATTTTTTGTGTTAACATTAGAATTGATAAAATCAATTAAACAGTATATTATTATTAAGTATTGAATAAACTAAAATTATTAGTTAAAAATTTTATTCAAAATAAATATTGAATATTATTTACAGTTTATTTGAAACAAACATATATAGTATTAAAATAATTAACATTTAATGTAAAAAGTAAATAAACTGTATATTTAAAATAAAAAATTATTGAAAATTTATTTTTTAAACTTCAAAGTAAAAGTTAATATACTTTTTTTAAAAATTAATATATAATATATTGTATATATACTAGTATACTAAATAGTTTTATTTTATGAAACTAATATTATAAAAAAAAACCACAATTTATAATTTTACAGTTTATAATAAATAATAATAGTTAGATTTTTATATAAATTTTTAAAAAATATAACTTAATTTTAAAAACTAATATAATTAAATAAATATTAATAATGAAAAAAATATTGTCTGCAACATTTATATAATTAGATTTAATGATATTAATAAATTTATTTTATTTTTTTCAAAATAATAATTATTACAAATTAGTTATAAAAAAATTTATTAAATAGAAAAACACATTACTATTGATAACGTATTTAAGGATAATTAAAAAAAACGCAAACATTTTTAATTAATTTTTTATTTATTTTTTTAATAAAAAATATTTTTAATTATTATTATTATTCCAAAAACAAAAATCACAATAAATCACATTTTCCTGACTGACTATCTTTCCACTGGACTGTCCATTGATTAGTGGATGTCGTATCCAACAGTTGGTTGACATCGATTTCTGTCCTACCGTTAACATGTTTGGCCTGAACTTGTTTACCGTCAACAGTGGCTACCAATTGGCCGGGCATTTGTCTAGTACCGGCAACTACTAGCCGATCGATGGTTGGTTTGACCACTGATTTGTCTAAACCATGTTTATCGGCAACAATACTTACCGTACAGTTAGCACCGGTCAGTCTAATTGAATACAGATTATAGGCATTTCGTTCAATAGTATCTATACTATCACCGTCGTCCCAAAACAACTGTCCATATGATTGACCAGTTTTACCGTCGGGTAGTACAACCAGTTGCAAATGTTTGAACGAATCAGATTGAGTGGTCACTAGTTTGTCGGTACTGACCATCGATATTACGTGACCACCGCGCAGATGAACGGGTGGCGGACTGGCCGGTGTATCGGGGATTGTAATGTAGCCGACATTCGGTACGCGTTTGATTTCGGGTCGCACTTCATACCAGACATCAGCCGCCGGTAGGTATGCCTTAACTTCCTTCTGGTTCTGTAGTTTGATATATAGTTTAAAAACAATTTTAATTAATTTTTTATTTAACTCTCTGTCTCTGTCTGTCTCTGTCTGTCTCTTTCTGTCTCTCTCTCTGTCTCTCTCTGTCTCTCTCTGTCTCTCTCTGTCTCTCTCTGTCTCTCTCTGTCTCTCTCTGTCTCTCTCTGTCTCTCTCTCTGTCTCTCTCTGTCTCTCTCTGTCTCTCTCTCTGTCTCTCTCTGTCTCTCTCTGTCTCTCTCTGTCTCTCTCTCTGTCTCTCTCTGTCTCTCTCTGTCTCTCTCTGTCTCTCTMTSTCTCTCTCTRTCTCTGTCTCTCTCTCTCTATCTGTCTCTCTCTCTCTCTMTCTCTCTCTCTATCTATGKGGCCTCGGTGGCCGAAAGGCTAAGTTGTCGGCTTTCGAGTACGACAACCCGAGATCGATACCCGTTTGGGCCACTCCTAAGTTTGTTGGGATTTTTAACGCGAGGAAACAGATAATATGTGTACGAAGAACTGTCCGCATATATAATGCTGTCCTATCGTTGTTGTATTAGCTAACTAAGAAACATTAACTAAGAAACTTAGTTTAAGGGTTCTCAAAACCCCGTGCATGCAATCATTGTAAAAACGGGGGATATAAATCCTGGATATTGTCTCTCTCTCTCTCTCTCTCTCTCTCTCTCTCTCTCTCTCTCTCTATATATATACATAAGAGCACCCGTACCTCAAACACAAACGGCGATATCAGTACACTTGAACCCCACATAAACTGTTGATCAATCGTATGAGTGGTTGCATCCAATGGCCAAACGTGATGCATGGGTCGGGCAACTGTCGACCCAGTCGTATGCGATTCGTAGAACAGTGTATACAAATGCGGTAACAACTGGTACCTGAGCTGTAGGGCTGCCCGAGCAGTATCGGTAACCTCCGGATGGCCCATCTCTTTCCAAACGGCCGGATCCTGATCGGACTGGACGGATAGATCGTTATGGTTGCGACTGAACGGATAGAAAGCGCCCAATTGATGCCATCGGCGGCACAGGTCGGGTGTGGTCTGGCCCTGAAAACCGCATATATCGGCTCCGACCTACCGGTGCATTAATAACATAAGAAAAATTATTGTAGTAGTAGTAGTATTTGTAATAGTAGTAGTAGTAGTAATAATAATAATATATTAGTATTATTACTATTAGTAGTAGTAGTAGTAGTAGTAGTAATAGTAGTAGTATTAGTAGTAATAGTAGTAGTATTAGTAGTAATAGTAGTAGTATTAGTAGTAATAGTAGTAGTATTAGTAGTAATAGTAGTAGTATTAGTAGTAATAGTAGTAGTATTAGTAGTAATAGTAGTATTAGTATTATTAGTAGTAGTAGTAATATATTAGTGTGTGTGTGTGTGTGTGTGTGTGTGTGTGTTATTATTAGTAGCAGTAGTAGCAGTAGTAGTAGCAGCAGCAGCAGCAGCAGTTAGCAGTAGTTAGCAGCAGCAGCAGTAGTAGTGGTGCAGTAGCAGCAGTGCAGCAGCAGCAGTGGTAGTAGTAGTAGTGGCAGTAGTAGCAGTAGTGGTAGTGCAGTAGCAGTGCAGCAGCAGTGGTGGTGGCAGTGGTGGTGGCAGCAGCAGCAGCAGTGGTGGTAGTGGCAGCAGCAGCAGCAGTAGTAGTAGTAGTAGTAGTAGTAGTAGTAGCAGCAGTAGTAGCAGCAGTAGTAGCAGCAGTAGCAGCAGTAGTAGCAGCAGTAGTAGTAGTAGCAGTAGTAGTAGTAGCAGTAGTAGCAGCAGCAGTAGTAGTAGTAGTAATATATTAGTATTATTATTAATGTTAGTAGTAGTTGTAGTAGTAGTAGTATTAGTAATAGTAGTAGTAGTAGTAATAATAATAATATATTAGTATTATTACTATTAGTAGTAGTAGTAGTAGTAGTAATAGTGGTAGTATTAGTAGTAATAGTAGTAGTATTAGTAGTAATAGTAGTAGTATTAGTAGTAATAGTAGTAGTATTAGTATTATTAGTAGTAGTAGTAATATATTAGTAATAGTATTATTATTATTATTATTATTATTATTATTATTATTATTATTAKTAGTAGTAGTAGTAGTAGTAGTAGTAGTAGTAGTAGTAGTAGTAGTATTGTATTAAAATACGAGCTCTAGAGGGATAACTAAAAAATACAATAGGATGAGCTCTAGATGACAATAAAAATTTATATTTAATAAAATATAGAAATATAAATAAACATTATTTTATATTATAATTTATATTATATATTACATTACTTTATATATTATACATTAAATAATATTTTACATTATAATATTGTATAGCACTAAAAAGTTGAAAAGTTGTTAGCCTTCAAACAATGCTTATGTATACAATACAATGTAATACAATGTATAACAATGTATAAAAATACAAAACATTCAAAATTTTTAGTCAAAAAAATTTCAAAAAATTTTCAAAAAAAAAAAAAAAAAAAAAAAATCAAAAATATTGAATGTCTAAAAGTGTCATCAAAACCTAAAAAAAGTCAACCATTAAAAAGTTAGCCATTGAAACTAATGTTAAATACTTATTTAAGCTATACTTTTAGTATTAACTTTATACGTATACTGTTAAGGTGTGGGTTTTCGGGCCTTAAGCCCGGAGATCGATTCCGTCCTAGAGACACTTTAGTGTTAAAGCAATCAGAGTCAGTTGAACGCGGATAATAAATGGTAGTACATGTACGAGTCTGTTATATACCTCACCCAATACATTTAGTTAAACAGTAGTTTAATAGTATGAGTAGGCTGAACTGATTGAAGTGACAAAAGCATTAGCTAAGCTAAAGCTTTTGCACTATTTTAGTATAATTTTAATCTAAATTAGTTTATATTTAAATAGCAATTAAGTGCAAATGTTTTTAGTTTAAATTAAAGCTTAAAATTAGTATAAATTAAATCTTAAATTTAGTTTAAATTAAAGTTTAAATTTAGTTAAAAATTATTTGTTTAATTTGATCTAATTAAAATACAAACATTATTAAATTAAAATTATGTAAACTAACTGTTAGACTAACAATTTAATTAGTATAATAAACATATAATATACTAATTTAAATAAAACACTTAATATAAAGTAAAAATATATATATAATATTAATGAAAATAAGGTTATATATGAAATAATAAAATCACTATAAAATAACATAAAATTCAATTTAAATATTATTTGATTAGATAGTTATTACTATACTATTAAACTTATTAAAATTTTACGGTAATTATATTTTAAGTAAATTTAATTATAGATAAAAGATAATATGTTAGCAATTATAATATTAAAACTTGGGTGTAACAAAATTTCAAAGTTAAAAGTGTAATATAAAATATGGTAAATATACAATAATACATTAGGCGTTATACATATATATATTGAAATCAACATTAGTATATTAAAACTTGGGTGTAACAAAATTTCAAAGTTAAAAGTATAATATAAAATATAATAAATATTCAATATTTCATTAGGCGTTATACATATATATATTGTAACCAATATTAGTTGTAAAACTTGGGTGTAACTTTAAGTAATGTAAAATTATTAATGAGAAACCATAATATGTAAATAATAATAAAAATGATTATTAGTATAATAACATTAAAACTTGGGTGTAACAAAATTTCAAAGTTAAAAGTGTAATATAATATAAAGTAAGTACTCAATAATACATAAGGCGTTATACATATATAAATTGCAACCAATATTAGTTGTTTAAATTAAGGTCATAAAAATACTTCAGAGTATATATATATTGAATTAAACTTAGGAATATCATTCACACAAGTTTAAACGCTTTAATAGTAATACTTAAAAGTTTGTGTTACAAAAGCGACACCTATCGGACAAAATGGAAGCTGACGCATTGGCCAACATTGTTGCTTACCTTCGTATCAACAACAACAACAAATCCACAAATAACGTCGATGAGCAGCTTCGTTTACGAGAGGAAGCCTTGGCACGTGAAAAGGCTTATGAAGAACAGCGCGGATGGGATGGTCTTCGTACTCAGTCTGAGTACACAAAAAGCGCTGCTTTTAAACACGCCCTCAGCCATCATCTACTACTTTGTCCAGGATGTAGGATGGACCATCTTAAGGCAATTGATGGTGGATTCATTTCATGCAATTGTGGGGTTCGTTTTCAAACACCCCTTTCAATACATCAAATAGTCCATAAAATATGCGTTTTATTGGACTATCACACCTTAATTCCTTGCGCCGACCCACTTTTGCAATTGGATATGTTGATGGGCAATATTTGGATCAACTGCGATTGCGGATATCACCACTCAATATTGTAATGGCCAGCCTTTTTAACTAAAAATTGTTTTTTATTTTTTATTTTTTCTAAATTATATATTTCTATATATAAAATTTTATGTATTTTTTATATTTTTAAAATAAAATTATTTTTAATACAATACAAGTTTTTTTTTAATTTTTTAAACATAATATTTAATATTTTTTATCATATTAATTAATCCATCTTAATAGTTCTTTTGTAGTTTAGGATTATAATAAAAATAAAATTAATTAATTCTCATGCGTAGTTTAATATTAGTTTAAATAATACATATATTATAAGTTTATAAACAAAAATAAATTTAAGTAATTCTTAGGCGTAGTTTATTTTTTGTTTTAATAATACTTATATTTTCAAGTTTATAAATAAAAAAAATGTTTAGGCGTTTCTACACTTTATTATAATAGTAACTATACTTCAAGTGAATAAATAAAAATAAATTTAAATGTTTAGGCGTTTCTACACTTTATTATAATAATAACTATACTTCAAGTATATAAATAAAAATAAATTTAAATGTTTAGGCGTTTCTACAGTATATTATAATTTAACTATACTTCAAGTATATAAATAAAAATAAATTTAAATGTTTAGGCGTTTCTACAATTTATTATAATAGTAACTATACTTCAAGTATATAAATAAAAATAAATTTAAACTTTAAGGCGTACTACAGTTTATTATAATAGTAACTATATTTCAAGTTTATAAATAAAAATAAATTTAAATTTATGGGTGTTGTTATTATATATGTATATTAATAACATTATTAATAAAACAAATTTTAATTTGAAAGTTGAGTATATAAAGAGATATATTTTACATTCAATAATCATTCAGTTTTTAAAGCTAAAATTATTGTAAAAGTTTTAACAGTTCTATTACTTTTAAAATAAAATTTTGTTGCAATGGCCGCTGAAAAGAGATCTGAATTATTGGCATCTATTGGTATGGATGAATCATCGTCGGACTCGGATATTGAGGAGGTGTTGCCATCAAAAAGTGGACTAAACGAATTGGAACCGATTGGAGACACTGACGATGACTCGAAAAAGCGCAAAGGAAAAGGCAAAGCAGGTCCGTCAGCAAAACGGGCTAAAAAAGTAAATGGTATAACATATGCAATGTATGAAAAAAGTACTCCATCCGGCAGCGATAAATCTGAAATAACTGAAAAAGTCTTCAGACGAGGTATGTAAAAATTATAACATATTTTTAAAAATTTATATTAATTATGTATAATTTTTACATACAGATTATGATGGTATATCAACAAAAGGTAAAGAGTTAATTTTTTTTAAATTTAACAAAGAGGACGTTCCATCAAATTATCGCTACCGGATAGAGATGAATCACATGTCCTATATCCTGAGATCACTTATTACAATTGCAATTACCAATAAATTACCAATTGATGATGTGTTTACAACATTTAAAAAACTTCAACCAAAAACTAAAAAAAAGTAGTATCGGTTAAGTGAATATTAAACTCACTTAGCTATTGAGCTACTTAATCAAATTAATTCAAAATTTTTATATAAAATTTTATAATGATATAATATATAATCAAAAAACTTTTTRTTATTTTAATGTTMAATTTATATTTTGTATTTTTACAATATATTTTATTCAATAAACTTTTCATGCAAATTATATATCTTTTGTATTTATTAAAATTATTAAAAAATATGAATTTAAAATTTTTATAATGTTATGTTTTAAATAAATTGTTTATAATTTATATACAATTTTGCTGTAAAAACATTGTTTTCTACTCCAGACAAATGTTAATAATATAGTTATTTAAACTTAGTCTACTAATGGCATAGTTCCGATGTGACTATAATAGTTTAAAACATTTATTATTAACAAAGATTTGTTTCGATAACAATAGCTGGAATGTTAGCATAAACATAACATTTAAAAAATGTTTTAAATAATTTAAATAAATGACTGAAAAAGTAAATGTTTTTTAATTTACAAATTACTTGAGATAAAATTAATTATTTATATATTGAAAATAATAATGCATATGTTATATTTATAAATAATTTTAAATTTCATTAATCTATTATTAATTATATTTTTTTACTTTTACAGTAATAATTGCTTATAAAAAGTTACCATTTATTAAAAGACGAAGAGTTTTTCTCAATTGTCCACTTTGCAATGAAGCAAGCATACTTGGAGATCAAATGTTAAGACATTTAATCTATTGCAATAAATTACAAAGTCTTAAATATAGAAAGTTTAGTGAATCTGTATTATATCCATGTAATTTTGTTGCGATAAATGTTATCCTTTTTATACTTGGATTAACTCGTAAAATTGACAAATATATTGACGTTAAAAGAATATTTTTTCCAAATACTATTAAACAAATCTGGGCTGTTTATGAAATCATCTACAAAACTCGTAATAACATTACTTTGGATAAAAATGAGTATTTACATGTTAATCGAGCTATTGAATATTTGCTTAAAAATTGTCTAAATCTTGAAACTTGTCCATTAAAAATAATACCTGGAATGACAATGTATGATTTCAACCAAGCATTTGGTAAAAGAGACTGGAGTTTTGTAATTGAAGATTATGATATTGATGTTCTTATAAATGAAAGACAACCAAACGGTTTTTATACCCCAATATAAATGTTAAAATAATAAAACTGAGTTCACAAATGTATTTTCTAAATTTCAAAATAATTTATTTGTAATAATAACTTAAAATTATTATAATAAAACTGATTTTTGCATTAAAATTTATATCAATTATTTTAAATAACAACAAAATATCTAAATTAATTATTATTGCATATGTTATTTTAACATATATTATAAATTAATATATATAAAATTTTTAATTATTTTTACTTTTATTATTTTAGATTTAATTGCTAAAAGAAGATCAGAACTAAGATTACTTCCATATATTAAAAGACGTCTTGTTCGTCTCGATTGTCCTAATTGTTGGCAATATGAAATTCCAGGATCGCAAGCTCTTTCTCATATTAAAATATGTAATGAAAAACAATCAACTATTGCTAAAAAAATAATTTCTGAACAATTGTGTTCAACGTTTGTATTATTCAACTCTTTACTTTATATACTTGGTATAAGTCGTAAACTTAACAATAAAATAAAATTGTTTAATATATTTGAACCATATGTTATAAGACAAATTTGGGCTGTTTATGAAATCTTATATAAAATACGCAATAACATTCCTGTTGATATAAATGATTATTTATTCATTGATAAATACTTTGAATATATTATGAAAAATTGTTTAAATATGGATACATGCAAAATAAGAATAATACCTGGAATGACTATTAAAGATTTTGATCATGCATTTGGTGAAAGAGATTGGAGTTATGTTCTTGATGAATATGACATTAATTTGCTAATCC